GTAGAGGTACTTGGACGCGTGACGGCATTTCCAACATAGCCTGAGCGGGTCATATATATATCTGGCATATTTGTGGATTTGAAAGGCGCATTTGACTTCTTTTATGGGATATCGGGCTCACATGATTGTCAGAGCTCTTTGTTCTACAGAAGACTGCTAAAACGACATGTGTCTATAGAAATCTTGTAGATTTTTTCCTGTCTGTAAAAAATCTCAATAATTTCTTCTAGCTATAAAAGATCTGTGAAATGTCTTCTATCCATCGAGGTCCTGTGTAAGGTCTACTGCTTATAGAAGACATGTCGTTAAAATATCTGTTAAATTTTCAAGAGTTCTATGGAAAGTCTTCTGAAGTTTTTGTCTATATAAAACCTGCAAAAGTAGTATTTCTGCCTATAAAAAACTGTGAGAGATTTTATGTCTGTAAAAAATATGTAGAGGTCTTCAAAAAAATTAGTATAGGACAGCAAATTCTAAAAAGTCTCCTTCTCCAGAAAACACCTGTGTGAGGTTTTTAGTCTATAGAAGTCCTGTGAAAGGACTTCTGTCCATAGGAGACCTGTAGAAGGTCTTCTGTCTATAAAAGTTCAGTGGAAAGATTCCAGAATTTAAGACCAGCAAAGTTCTCCTGCCTATAAAATACTGTAGATGGTATTGTTTTTATAAAAAAATCCCAATTCAGAAGATCTTTTGTCTATTAAGGACCTGTATGAGGCATGTATATATTAAAATGGTGAAGGGTCTTCTGTGTATAAAAAGTTTTCCGTGTTCTGTTAAAGTTTCTCTGGCTGCAGCAGACATGTAAAAGACACCTTTTGTAAAAGTTCATCTGTGATTGGAGGACCTCTCGAAAATATTCTGCCTATAGAAACCTTGTAGAAATTTTTTATCTATAGGGGATCTATTAAAGGGTTTCCCTTTTTTCCCTCTTCGTACGCTCCATATTCTTTACATTACCTGCATTTTTTAGAAACCCCAATAGGGATCTCCATCCTCACATGAGGTTCCGGTTATGAGCAAAGCGACTCTATAATTTTCGATAATGATCGGGGATGAAATGGGCAATTAATTTTTAGTTGATTTTCTATATTCGCCACAGTTAAGCCGAACATTGAAAATTTTACATGAGGAAGACGATCTGACCAACTAATTCGATCAAGGCACCCAGATAATGAAGATCAATATTTACCGGGTCAAATGTGTAAAAAACTAAATTTGAATTTTATGGAGTAAATTTTAAATCCGGGAAACATGATTCGTAACTGATGAGCTGTTGACCTCTAATCGGTCAAGACAAAGCATATATGGTGAAATGTTACCCAGTGTGTGAATATAGTAGATCCGCTGAAATTTAGACCTCAGTGGTAGTTAGGTAGGGTTTCATTCGGATGGCCCGTCCGACTATACTGCTCCGCTCACTGGTTTTTAAATTGGTCCTTGTTGGTGTTCCTCGGCGCATTATCCATCTGATATGGTTGTAATTTGGGTGGCGTAGGGGATGATAGATACCAAGCAAAGGCTCTAATTGGCTTTAACATGGCGAAGTCCAGGCTTATCTTGGCCCCTCTTTCATCTCAATTGTGGACACTGACCTCCCCGCGGTGCCACCTGGGGAGCTATTCTCATCACCCAATGAAATAGTGAGCTAATATGTGCCGCGAGTTCACCCATAAGAACTATAAAAAAATAAGTTGAGGCGTCGGGTTAGTTGCCCACTCCTACTAAGAAAAAGCTAAGAAAAAGAAAACCAAGCTCCCGTAATGTTGACGACCCCCGCAAACATATAAAGGACCACGATCTGCGAATCTGCACTTGGAATGTGCGTACGTTGTACAGAACAGGCGCAGTGTTCGCTTTGGCGGATGTACTCAAGAAGTACAAAGCCGATATTATTGCCTTACAGGAAATGCGATGGAAAGGGACAGGCGTAAGTAAATCAGACGATTACGCCCTGTATTATAGCTGCCATGAAACGAGACATGAATTTGGCTAGAAACAACATATGACCGTTGCCCTGGCAATCACATTAAAATTCTGCTAGAAGATTTTAATCCAAAAATCGGAAGAGAAAATATATTTGGCCCCACAGTCGGAAAATTCAGCCTTCCGTCGGAAAATTCAACGGCATGAGGTTGATTGACTTCGCGGCAGCAAAAAACATGGTAGTTAGCAGCACCAGATTCAAGCATCTCGATATACACAAGGCCACCTGGATCTCTCCTGATCAAGCAACGAGAAATCAAATTGATTATGTTGTCATAGACGGAAGGCATTCATCCAGTGTTTTAGACGTCCGATCGATCCGAGGAACGAATATCGACTCGGACCATTACCTTGTGGCAGCCAAGGTACGCACCCGTCTTAATGTAGCAGCAAAGGTGCGATCTAACACAACACGTAAACTCAAACACTACAGGTAGCCGAGGCCTACTCCGCTCAACTTGCCCATCTGCTTGAAGAAAGCACTTTTTGTCCCGATCATAGTATAGAAGCACAATGACAAAGAATTGCCCACTCCCTACAAACTGCAGCAAAAGCAACACTTGGGTACCAAAAACCACCACCAAGGTATATTTAATAAGGTAGCCGCATCGGCCCAGCTGTTAGTGCAAATAAATGTCAAAAGTGTTGTTGTAATGTTGAACCAAAAAATTAAAAAACAAAATTATAAATGAAAATCTTCGAATTTCGAAGAGCTTGTTTGGCAATACTTTTATTAACATTTTCTACATGAATTTGTGTAAAAAAATCTTGTCAATCTGTTTGTTTTGGCGAAATATTTTTGACATATCAAAATACAACAACCGATGTTTGTTGTAGGAGTGTCCAGTGCTACTGATGTGAAAAACGCAGCGTATAGGGCAATTCTGCCGACACGTAACGTGATGGAGAATTATCGGGAGAATAGGAGAGAGGAGAAACGTATTTTCAGAAAAAGCTGAAAGAACAAGAAAAACGTGAGCGTGAGCAAATCGAGATGTACAGGAGTCAAAATAAAGCCATTTCTACGTTCGGCATCCGTGCAAAATTAATATGGCTATGCAGGATAACTTTAACTGGCACAAAATCAGCAGTTAAAGTCGGAAAGGACCTATCGGAGCCCTTCAATACCGAACGAGGATTGAGACAAGGTGACAGTTTGTCGTGTGATCTTTTTAACATCCTACTGGAAAAGGTTATACGAGACGCAAATGTGAACAAAAATGACACTCTGTACACCAAACAACACATGTTACTCGCCTACGCCGATGACATCGATATAATGGGTCGAACATTGTGAGCGGTAACAGGCACCTTTGAACAAATTGAAAAGGAGTCTGTCAAAGTGGGTCTGGCAATAAACGGCGAGAAGACCAAGCTGATGGTATCAACGCGCAAGACGTTCAGCAGACTCGGACCAACTGTGGAACTTGAGAACTACAGCTTCGAGGTAGTTAAAGACTTTATATACCTTGGTACCGCCATAAATAAAACGAATGACATCAGTTTTAAAATTCGGAGAAGGATTGTGATGGTCAACCGATGCTACTATGGTCTGAACAAACAACTCAAAAGCAAGGCCACCTCCCGCCAGACCAATCTAATACTTTACAAGACGCTGATACTACCCGTGCTATTATATGGATTAGAAGCATGGGGACTTGTGTGAGCAGATGAGGCAGCTCTTGGGGTGTTTGAAAGAAAAATTCTCCGAAAGATCTACGGGCCGATCTGCGTCGACGGTGAATATCGGCGTGAATGAACCACGAGCTCTATAATTTATACGCGGACATCGACATAGTCAGTCGTATTGAGCTGCAGCGACTACGGTGGCTAGGCCATGCTGTGCGGATGAATGAGAACGCCCCAGCTCAAAAGGCATATAAAACGAGCTTACTGATGGTTCGCGTAGAAGGGGAAGGAACAACCGTTCTGTAACAAGCCAGCTAAGTAAGAAAGTATGGTTGTAATTTGGCATTGCATTTTTTCATAGAAAAGTTCGAAATACAATTTTTAGTAAATTTTGACATTACGCAATATTTCATGTCGACCAATACCGGAAATAATCCAAATTTGTTAATTACTTTGATTTTTAAACATTTAAAAACAAATTCTTTGTTTAATTTCAATTTATTGATTTTATATTTATTATTTAGCTTACTAAAAATAAATTTAAACAATACAACAATTTTCACATATTTTTTTTATTATTCGTCGTCAATAATTTTCACCAATACGTCTCAAGAAAATATTTGAATTTAATTACACATGATTTTTCTGTTTAACTTATAAATGTCAGACCTTTGTTCTTTTAAATGTATTTTAAACCAATAATAATGATAATAATTACAATAATGATACCTTCAATAGAAATGTTATATAATAAATGTTGCAAAATAATATGTGTATGTATTTACGTATGAGTGTTACGGTAATTGATTGATATTGAATTTCCATTTGCAATAATAATATTAATAATAAATATTATTTAAATAATACAAAAAAGAATAAATTCTTGATAATAACATGTCATTACAATAATTTTGTTATCATCATCATTTTTTCCATGTGTATGTGTGTATGTATGTATATAAAAAAATAAAATTATTAATTTTACATTATTATTTTTGTTTTTCGAATTTACTAATAAAAATACATGTTGTTCTCATTGTTAATTCTGGTGTTGGTTTTCTTTCAACTAATTAAATTATATGCCTCTGATTTATGTTTTCATTTTCCCTCATTTTCCTTATATTTATCATACATTCGGCTTTACAAGCCTACAGCCTGACACTTATAGAGTAAACCACATAATAAATTGTACCAGCTTGTATAGATTTACAATGGGGAATTTCCATTTGGATTTCTCTTGGCGTCGACGATTCGGCACCAAACTGGGATAATGCACCGATTTTGATATGTGACAATTCGAAATAAGCGTACCGCCAGGATAGTCGACAGACACCGCATTGCCAAGTTTCACGCCATCACAATCGGTGACATTGAGCGTCTTATCGAAACAGATACGAATCTCCTCCAAATAGCTTATGTCCTTTTTACTGTCATACAAACAGTGAATGGAAGGATTTTTGCCCAAACCCTTTACCAGGGCGGCGTGTATGGCCACCACGGTGTTATTTGAATCCGGGTGTATGCCAGAATTACCCAAAATATTCGATAGTTGGAAATCTTCACGCCACGTTATACCCTGAGAGAAATATTTCAGTTCATTGTTTAGCTCCTCCAGAGCAGCGGCACAGGTGCCATGTTTCAGCCATTCATGTTTCCACAACCAATCACCTTTCGATTCACCATCAATGTCTGGCCAGAAATGATTCAACTCATCCTTGATATCGTCCAGCAGATTTATATCGAAATTTGCCGTCTTATTACAGAATGAAGGTCCAATGTGACCTTTCTTCGTCGGCCACACACCGTGTACAGTCCAAAATTCCTTGGCTGCCGGCAATTTGCATTCATGATCTTTATCTTCTTCTCTCCAATGATAGCAGGTGGTCACCGGCCATTGTTGGGTAAATATCAGAAGATCCCATTCATAGTTGCCACCATTTTCCATTTCAATATCTAGATCATCATGATATTCCGATGAGCTCAACTCATCGGAAAAGAATATGTTTTGTTCTGATTCTGGGATGCGTTTTAGAGGATCACCTTTGCGAAATTGTAGATCGGCCAATTCATCGCTGTCCACGGAAGATTCACTGGAATGAAATGGAAAATGAGAAAATTATTAGCATAGGCTTTCAAAGTACTTAAAATCAGTCAGGATCTTAAATCGGTCATTCCATATAAGTACTGCCAATTTATTTTCATAAACCCCAATATCGGTATTTGAAGGGGTTTTTTTTTATTTTCCATCCTTCTTCTTGTTTTTTCTAAGTCCCAGACAGATGATAAAAAATCACCTGACAGATAATTTAGAATATATCTCCATGCTTTGCAATATCCCTCATAGAAGGTTTCGGAAAGACTTAAGGCATTTTAAATGCCTTCATGGTGGAGGGTATAGAACGTTTACACAACTATAGGTGAATCAGATATCCTAGGAATAGTAGCAATGTATTCAAAATTCTGTAATAAATACTACGATTTCAATCCTAATTTCAATTAACAGGGGCACATTTCCTAATTGACATAAACGTTTTCGCTGATCAAGGATATTTTATGGAGTCTCCGACGAATATTTCCACATGTTCCAAACATACGTTCACCACCTTATGGTAAAGGGTATGCACATTGGGGACAAAATTGTTGCTTTTGTTTATTCGTCACATTTCCTACAACTAATACTGTGTGACCTAATTTCTTTTCCTTATAAACGCAAATTATCAGCAAATCCAACTTCAACAACAACAAAGGCTTGCAATATTTCTTTTTAATTGACACACTGAATTTGATATGTGAAATCACCGACATTCAAATCTGACATTGTAGTTGTGCCTTTGTTTATTTATAAAATGATTAGTATTATAATAAAACAAACGGCTGATGTCCATATAAAAATAAACCAATTCTATTTAAAAAAAAGGGGAGTGAAATTAAACTTTGTTCACTTGGAGTTGAATTGTCCCACTTACAGTGGTCTGGGTATTTAGTTAAACAGACATTCCATTCGCCTAATATTAGATTTATAATTATTGAAAATTTTCAACATTTGTGGGGGAGGTACCAGAAGTTGTGGACCATTGGGTCCCATCTTCGGACTTAATCTAGACTTAGTAAAGACAATAGGTTGTGCAAAGTTTGGTTCAAATCGGATAGTCCTTCCGCATGAGGTACCAGAAGGAGTTGACCGATATTCCCCACCTTCTAAGTTTGGAAGAAATACTAAGATGCGCAAAGTTTGTATGAAATCGTTTACTACCTTCGATAGTTAGCGTGCGCACCAGACGGCCAAACAGATATTCGACTCGAAATTGTCAGAAACTATTTGGTCCAAAGAAACATGGGGCCTAAAAACAATATTTCGAAGACGCACATGTGCACCGTATCAAAGTTTATATACCCTCATTAGCCATAAGGCTGAGGGTATAAAAAGAAAAGGATGTTCCGCAAGATGGTGTCATTTAGCCCTTAATCATCAAATTTTATATTCCATAATTTCCATATTTTATTTTCCTCCAGATGGCACCATCTTAATCTCTGGAGTTGACTTCGGCGAAATCGAATAAAAAATTATGAGTTAAAAGCCACCTTCGATATTTTAAAAATATTTTTTAATGCACAACTGTACTATTTTCTGGTCGTTACAGGGGCCGCAATTATGATCCAAAAATCGCATGGAGAAGGGAATCGGGTCAAAGAATAAGCACACTAGGGGCAAAATATAGCGCTGATTGCTTTCAAATGAGGATCTAGGTATGGTCAAGGACAACGCCTATAAATGATGATGATGATCAGATAATAATATTATGATGAAGTGGACCTAAAACTTGTTTATTTGTGCTTTTTCGAGCCCATCACAACACAACCCACGGTGGAGGGAATCTGGACAAGTAGTTGGAAGGGCCGTACTGAATATTAGTAATATTTGTTACCTCTAGTCGGTCAAGAGGGTGCAAATATCGCGAAATATTGCCTCAAGCTCAGAATATAGAACCACCGCATGTTATATTTTTGTGGAAGTTGTGTAGGGTATCATATTGTCGGCCCCGTCCGACTATACTGTTCCGCTCACTGGATTTAATATATTTTTGCGGCCAAATATAAGCGTGGATTTTTAAAAATTTTCTTTGAAGGTCCAAACAAAAGCGTGGATTTTTAAATTTAGATGGTCCAAATACAGGCATGGATTTAAAAACAAGTGAATAAACCGTTAAGTTCGACCGGGCCGAACTTTAGATACCCTCCACCATAGGTATATTGACAGATACTTAAAATGAAAATATAGGAAATATACCAAAAATAACCTATACCGATAATTCTACAAACGGATTTATGTAAACCATTATGTACACCAAATAAACATTTCAGCAATTTTTAATGGGGATTTTTTTAAAATCTGAAACCCCCAAAGCGTGGACTGATACTAATAACCTATGTTAGAATATAAAATCCTCAAACCACTGCAACTTAGATTGTTATGTATCTCAATTCTTCCCTTCCGGAAATATCATAATATGGAGGAGATGCCTGAATGCCTCTCGATATACATGAAATACAACTTTCCAAAATTTTTATGTATATTTTTCTCAAAAACCCCAAAAAGTGGATCGATATTTATAAGACCATCACCACAGCTTTTATATAGTTTATTATCGAACCTCACGTTTTAATTTTTTTATCTTGATATCCTCCGCAGATAGAATGATTACAACAAAGTATTAGAACCCGATCCAAAACGCGGAACAAATCAGATAATTATTATTTTAATATAAAAAAATGGGTTATATGGGGACTACCCCTGAAAGGGGATTGGGGGGTACCCTTATATGGGGTTACCCGAAAAATGGACCTATATATAATTTATTGTGAATAAGAATTCGAAGTACTAAATTACAGTCAATTCGGTCGAAAAATACTGTCAGAACCCTCAAAATACCGAAAATTTGGAGGTATCGTTATGTGGGTACTACCAGAAAAAGTGGACCTATATTTATAATTTTTAGTGGAATAATTTGGTACCCAATAAGAACCCAATGTACAAAATTTCAGCGAATTCAGTTATAAAACGCGCCCAAGAACCCCAAAATACCGAAAATTCGGGGGTACCTTTATATGGGGGCTATTCGAGAAAATGGACCTATATTTATAATTTTTAGTAGGGAGATTTGCTTCCCAATATTAACTCAAAGTACCAAATTTCAGCGAATTCAGTTGAAAAACGCGCTCAAGAACCTCAAAATACCGAAAATTGGGGAGTACCCTTATATGGGGGCTATTCGAGAAAATGGACCTATATTTATAATTTTTAGTAGGGAGCTTTGCTACCCAATAAGAACTCAAAGTACCAAATTTCAGCGAATTCAGTTGAAAAACGCGCTCAAGAACCTCAAAATACCGAAAATTGGGGGGAACCCTTATATGGGAGCTATGCCTAAACGTGGAAGGATGTAGCCCATCATCGAAATTGACCTGCCTGCAGACAAAAGACGACTCTATGCAACGAATTGGCGATCTATCTCAATTCGTTCAGACGCTAGAGAGATTACAACAGACAGACGGACATGCTTAAATCGCCATAGAATTTTACGCTGATCAAGAATATGTATACTTTATACGGTCGGAAATGATTATTTCGATGCGTTACAAACGGAAAAACAAAGGTAATATACCCTCCATACTATGGTGGAGGGTATAAACATGTTAGAAAAAACACCAATTTTTTTTGCCAAAAAATCAGGATTTTTTCAATGACTAGTGGGTCATTGAAAAATATTTTTAAAAATGTTTTTTGAAATTCCAACATTCTCTTTTTTACGTACCAAAATGTAGTACCACATATTACTCTTCCTACAATATTTATGATTTGCGCCATTTACTACAATTTGTACGGTTTAAGTGTACATTTCCAATAACACGTTGGTGCATCCCGTATACCGATCACTGTATGGATAATATCTACCTACCCACAACAACAAATTTTGTATTGAGAACTGTTACAATTTTAAAACCTAATACTGTGTACAACGTTAGGTTATTTAATTGTTTGTGTTATTAAGGGGTATATTGTGAGTGTGGAAGAGAGGAAGGGAGAGAGAGAGCACAAAAGAGAGGAGGGCTCATATAATGTTAATGATTTGATTGAGTATTAATTTGACATTGTTATTGTTTACAAACAATATTTAGTATTTCCAAAAATATTTCTTGTTTTCTTTGTGTTAATTTTTTTGTTGTTGCTGTTTTTATAGCAAACAATCAGCTGTACCCTCTGTCCATTTAAGCAAAAGAGTGGTTAATAAAGACGGAATTGCTCTACACATAACTATTTGCCAAAAAACACAAATCAACTTACCTGTACACCGTGGCAAATGTTGAAATCACACAAGAAAATAGAAAAATGTTGCAAATATTTTGGAACATTTTCACCGAATCAGCAACCAGCTGAGTTGAAAATTGTTGGAAGAAATTTTCTTAATTTTCACTGCTGTTGTTGTTTTCTTTTTCACTGTGGAAAAATGCGTATGTGTTTTGGTTAATACATTGTATTTGTCGTTTTCGTAGATATTTTTTCAAGGTTTTTTTATATATTTTTTTTGCTCTATATTTTTTGGCAAGATATGTTTCTTCTTCGCTTGATTGAAATTATTGTGGATTTCGTTTTAAAAATCGCTTTCAATTGAACTCTTTTTTTCTAGATTTGTTGAAATGACGTTTTCTTTTAATATGCCGATTATCATCACATTAGCCTATGGATATGGTCTTTTTATGTTCCTCTTTTTTCATTTGTTTAAAATAAATGAAATTGTTGAACACACACTCATTCACATACTAACACAAATCGTTATGCAGTCTTTTGTTTGTTATAATATTTTAAATGGTATTATTATTCTTTTTTTTCTTTGCAAGCGGGTACAATCTCTTTTTGATTTCCTCTTTCCTTTTTAATATTTTTTTTTTCTTAATGTTTAGTTTCGAATGTTGTTATTTGTCGTCGCTTCTTGCTTTGTAGCGTCGTATGTTTTACTGCTATTATTTCTTGCTGGCTGTTTGAAATGTCACATGTGTGAGAGTATGTGTGTGTGTGAGTGTGCTAACCTAT